CGAGTGGCTCCTCCTCTCTCTGGCCCACGTGCCAGAGGAGGAACTATTTCTAGGCCTTAATCACCCCAGCAGCCTATACTGAACAACTAGGGACCTTCCCTAAAGCTTAGAGCCCCGTGAAGTAGTTAGAGACTTGCGGGTCCTCAGCAGTTCACCCCACCCTGCCTTTCTTTTCCCGTGAAACCCCTGTGAAGCCTTGGACCTAAACCTGCCCCTCACGCCCGTCTTCTGCCTCCCAGTCACACCTGTGTCTTCCCCGTGTGGTGTGACCCTACCTCCTGTCTGTAGGATCTGTGAGCATAATAAACTGTTTCTCCTGTGACCACACCTGGCCGACCATCACGTCACGTCAAAGAACACACAGCTGGCACACAGTGGTGTGACTCTCTCAAGCCCACAGGACACTTCTGTGTTCATTGCACCTAATTCCATCTGCCAAATCCCGTTGTGAGGTTGTCCCTGTGCCGCACAGAGAACAACTGCGTTCACTGAAATGTCATGACCAGTTCAAAGTCTTCTGCATGTGCAGAGCAGAGCCAGACCCACGCCAAGGATCACTGACCCCCACAGGAACCAGTAAATATTCTCCCTGCTGTGTTCCTTTTATTAAAAATAATAAAAACCGATCTGAAGGACTCAAACGTACAAAACTCACACACAAAACTTGGCCAAGTCTTCCTTTTCATAGATTGGGAGCTGAGAAGTACCCAGATGCCTAGCTCTGTGGTGTAAGTTGCCCCAAAACACGAGAGTTATGTTCACAGCTATAGAGAGGTCTGAGCCATGACCAGGCTCACAGCCACCATTTCCCACTGTAGAAACGTCTTAATACGCATAGAGGATCCAGGCAGTTACCTGAAAGTCCAGTTCAGTAGAGGTTGCTTGACAGCTGCAGCATTTCCTAGAGCAGAAGCCATTTGGGAAAGGGCATTTGCTGCCCGGCCCCTCCTTAGTTTCCACTTCCTGAGTGCACTGTGCTGAACCGTGGGATGCTGATTTTGGCCAAGGTAACATGTCAAGGGCTTTTGAATTTAATGTGCATCAGTATCACCTGGGGGCTTGTTCAGACAGACTGTGGGCTCTGGGGCTGGGCTCAAGGGATTCACATTTCCAACCAGTTGCCCAGGTGTTGCTGATGCTGCTCATCTGGTGACCACACCTGACGCCCTCAGCGCAGCCTCCTTGGCGTCCTCACGGTGGCCTCGGGCGGTTCTACTCGCCCCTGGTCAGGTGAAGGAAATCTCTTCTCCACCATGCGCACAGTCATGAAACAGAAGGGGGATGATTGCCCACTATCTTAACAGAAAAATTGTGAAGCACATGCATTTGGCCTCAAACCCTCCACAAGTAGTAGTGAAGATGGACTTTGTGGGATTCTGAAAAGCGAGAGAGATGACACGTGGGCTCCTCCTCTACTCTCCCCCCCATACTTACTAAGGTTGGCTCAAGAAACAGCAGCTAGATGTTTACAGTTTACAAACATTCCTTACAAGTAAACTTGAAGATTGTTTAAAAATCTCAGGTGATAAAAGCCTGTGTAGTTTTTTAAACTAGTGTCATTTTGTCACTGGCAGCACCATGTCCCATGGGTACAGCAACCATATAATAATCTATTACACACACAACTCTCCCGGCATTAATAATTACAGGCAAAGGGGGATCTGGGCATAGCATCCGCCAATAAGAACCAGGAGCAAGGGGAAACGTACCCTCTGCTGTGCCACCTACTTTTGCCCTATGAGGCCACCTCTCCTCCACTCCTATATCTCGGTTGTGTAAGTTGGGAAGTTTCCACAGCTATTTGAGGGTGTGTGTGTGTTTTGTTTACCTCTGATTTTTTAACCAACCTGCAAGATGAAGGTGGCAAGAGGTTTCCCAGGAGGCTGGAAACTGAGCCTATTCACTCGCTTGTTCTGATCACTTCATGTAACGGGTAGCTTTTACGCTCGTACCAAGCCCACTGCCGGCAGCCAAAGCTAGCTTGCTTCCACATAGCCTGCCTTTAACACCGGCCAAGCAGTGAGTCAGATATCAAAGGTTGATTCAGATGCCTGTTGCCTGATTAAAATCACCAGTGTCCCCATCAAAGACTTGTCTCAAGCCCCCATTCCTGCCTAAGTCAGATGACCAAAGTTAACTTTTCCCCGCCCTGTGGATTGCCTCCTGGGTCACCTTGCCCTGGTGCCTTCCCGCCCTTTTCCTAGGCCAAGACATGTGAACTGGCAGCTGGCAAGATCCAAATGGCTCAGAGGCAATTCACTCCATCCACAGGAGTAAATTATACTATTGAGAAATATGTAAACATTAGGTGTTTTCACATAAAAAATACAAATTCCAGATAAAACTTTTTTTTTTAAATCAGAGGAGCTGGTAACACCACTAAGGCTGTCTGGTTAAGGACAAGCTGGAGAAGAATGGAGTCGTGAAAGCAGACAGGAGACAGGGCCCTGGAGACTGAGAGGGAAGCCAGGCCTCAGTGCTGACCTCACGGACACACGGTCAGCTCAGAAAACACCTTTCATTTGTCAAGGGGATAGGTTAGAATTTTACTCGCTAGGTGTGAAGAAGACAGCTAGGGGTTAAAAGAGGGAATGAACAGGACTAAAATGAGTAAGCTAAACATCAAGAGATCAGGTTTCAAAATTATTGTCCACTTCCTAAGTGGCTGTAAAAGTTAACAATTCAGCCATAATCAAGGGATGGTAACATTTGGCTGCAGCAAAAGAGCTGCTGGTGCAAAGCAAAAACAATGACTGTGCCAAAGAACTGAGGGCACTGTCACAGCAAAACATCCCAGAGGTCAGAAGGATTCGAGTAGAAAGTGCAGGTGGCCGGGGGCTGGCTGGAGAGCGCATGGGATGGTCGTGGGACCAGCTCCTCTTGCAGCCACGTCAAGCATCCAAAGGGCATAGATGACATCAGCAGGCACATGTTTCGCACCATTTCCAGGGGGGACATTCTTGAGGTCAGGCTGTATTTGAGGCTTTGAAAGGATCCACAAAATACACCTGTACACCAATAAAATCTTAGGAAACTAGTAAACTAATATTGTTTGAGCAATTATGACAAAACACAGGGGAAAGCCTAACACTTTGGTGCATACTATTTATTAAGTTAAGTATATGAAAATAAAGCCAGGTGTGGTGGTTCACACCTGTAATCCTGGCATACTGGGAGGCCAAGGCAGGAGGATCACTTGAGGCCAGCAGTTCAAAACTAGCCTGAGCAAGAACAAGACCCTGTTTCTATGAAAAACAGAAAATAAGCTGAGCATAATGGCACACACTTGTAGTTCCAGCCACTCAGGGGGCTGAGGCACAAAGATTGTTTGAGCCTAGGAGTTGAGGTTGCAGAGAGCTGTGATGAGGTCACTGTACTCTAGCCCGGGCAACAGAGTGAGACCCTGTCTCAAAACAAAAACAATATACAACATATAGATATATATAGTTGAGAGAGATACGACAAAGCACCAATCTTAAAAGAATGTTTGCTGAAATCCAAAGAATCTCTCTGTGATGTGAATATTTGCTAAATAAAAGGTGAGGTGAGCAATTGCTAAGATACACAGCTACATCTTAAAATGCTTCATCAAATTTAAAATGCTTCAGTAATAAAATAATGAACTGTATGTTCATAGCTTTATGAAAGATTATATCTTTAAGTATTTGAATAAGGTTTTATGTAAGATCAAGTAAGAACAATTGTTTATTGTAAAGAATTATATAGTAAAACTACAAATCCAAGACGAGAGTATGTTAATTTTTTGGTTTATTATAATAAAACAAAACTACATTTCTGTGCTTCTTGTGATACATTAACAGGAATAAAAATCAATCAACATTTCCAAGTTTCGCTCACAAAATCACACAGTGTGTTTTACAGTACTTCATAGTAGTTCTTTTTACAACAATCTTAACATTTCTTCGTACCACAGGCAAATAGTTTAACACTTTCCATCAAGACATCTTAGAGCTTCAGATGTTTAGAAAGAAATAAGGTCAAGAGTCTCTTTCAAATGCAATCATTAGTTTGTACTAAACTAAAATGCCAGATGGCAAGTCTCAGATTCCTTAAAAAGAGTATTTTTTTTAAAAAAAGACTTACATCCCATATTAACTCTTATAAACCTCAGTGATAGGACCTATCATTTCTAAACACTAGTACTATCTATGGATAAAAATCCGCACATAATTGTGCAATGTTTCCTTCTAGATTTGAATTAAAATCTTATTTACTCTAATTCATCTTGGTATTAATTCTGCTACCTTCGGTGAAAAGGCCAGGATTATTGCCAACTCAGCTTTCCACCAGAAGAAAGTGTTCCAACCACCTATATTAGAGTTTTTCTGTGCTTATTTTCCCCAGGGATGAACCGTACATCTATTCAACGCTACAAAACACATGCAAATTCTTCCTCCTGCAATCTGTTCCTTACTCTGTCTCCTTAAAAAACTACCTAACAGAGTTTCTCAAAATGCTTACCCTGGGACACTAGTGAGAAGTACACAGGTTCCCCAAAGGGGGAAAGGTCCTGGGGCCAAACTAGCCTGGATAATGCTGAGTTAAACAGCTGTTCACTGCCAGCCACGCTGGGCCCTTACCACGCTAAAGTGCGCCGCAAGTTTCTGTGTGCAAACTTCATTCATCACCAACACTTTTTCTATGATACACCACTGAGCATCTCCCAGAGCACTCCTGTTCTGTGGAGATGCCTACAGGAGATGCCTTTCCCCCTCCAGGTTACTAGAAATTCCAGACTCTGAGCTTAGATTCATTTGCAACCCCAGAAACATTTTCTGCACTCATGACCTTCATGACTTCATGAGACGTAACGTATCTGAAAAAAGGAAAATCGGTGCTTTCTCAGTTCTACACACTTCACGCTAGTTTTTGCCTTTATTGTTCTTGAAATTTTAAGACAGCGAAAAATTCCTCCCTCTCTTCTGAATTACTCAGGACATTATTTTAAAAAACAGAGTGCAGTTTGATATTGCTTATTATTTTTTAACATGACTCACAGTCTTCCCTGGAGGGCATGCATTTCATTGTACAGAAATGCAACAGAGTAAACTGTAATAAATTATTTACAAGCACCTAGTTTCTTTCACCTTACATGGAAGCCATTGCTGTTGGAAAACAAAGAGAATATGTCTTTTAGCAAAACAGCGCTATTTGGAAGCCTTATTGTGATGACGCATTTTTTTTTTTCAGTCATGAGGCACTGAAGGATGAGTTGTGCTGAAATTAACTCAAAGGTCAGCTTGTCTGGATTAGCATAACTTTGGTTGAGGTTTTTCTTCCTTAAAAAAGATTTTCAAAGCACCAGTTAATTACAAAAAGCATGCATATTTATACTCACAGTGAGTTAAGTGGCGAGAGAGCTAGCAAATCATATATTGCATTCCCCAAAGCATCTGATTGAATTTCTGGAAAACAAACCAACCAAGATGGAAAATAAAGAAAGAGAAGCCCTAGGGTCTCTGCCCAGGCTGGCAAAGCAGCAGCTCCTGGAGGAGTGCGGGCAGGGCAGCGGTGTCCACCGGAAGTCACTGCCAGCCTTGACTTTCCAGCTGAGACTCTGAGGAACCCTGGATCTGCAATCTAGAGGGTGAAATGCTTAATCCCCAATAAGGAACACCCAGGGGACTAAATAAGACTCCCTGGGTATCCCCCAAATGCAGCAAGGACAAAGAAGTGGTCCTCTACCCCAGTTAGTAAAATGGAATGCTGAAAGATGATCTCACCCCACACGGGAGCCCCCAAAACTGACAGTGACTTAAAGGGACATGAGTTCCTATAAGGACAAAGACAGACATTTTAAATGCAGAATTTGGGAAGGGTAAAAAAGGCTCACAATGGCATAGCATTATTGCTATGAGTTTCAAACAAGATATTTCCTCCAATGTGAAATATCAATTAGTGTCCCTTCCCCTCCCAAAACACATTTCTTATTCACTAGATACTATTAGTGTTTAAAATCCAAGTTTATCAAAGTACAAACTTAATTCTCAGTACTTTTATACTAAATTCAAGGAATCTATGCAACACTCATCTGGAAAAATTCCTAATTCCATAATATCATTGAAATAGGGGACAGTAAATTGTTAGAAAATATTTTAACTACATGATCTTTAAGAAATCACCATAATTACCACAATTAACTAACAACTACGCTCCCTGCTCACGAAAAGGCACCGACCCATCATGAACATACAATTTTTCATAATTATTTGCCCCTATGGGGCGTAAGGGTTTAGGTATATAGCCCATAAATATTTTTAAAGAACCATGGTTTTTCCGCAAAGCTAAAAATCCATAAATGCCTCTGGCCATCACCAGTCAGTAGGGCCGCCATGTATATGTCACAGGTTGTACACAGCACAACTCCAGTGGGCACGTGTCACCCCGACAGGGAGGGGTTCAGCGTGCGACGTGCCTACAGTACATGGAAGCCCTGGGTCAGGGGTCCATAGCCAGAGCACCACATGCTAACGGAGTCCATTGGGCCACACTAATCCAGTTGGGACAGTTGCTAATGGGTCAGAGGATTTTGAAGAAACAGCTGTCCCTGTGAGAGGCAGGTTCCACCAGAGGGGTAAGAAGGGGTATAAATCTAAAACAGGAGGAGGTTTTAAATACTTGCTGGTCATTTAACTCAATGGCACTTTTTTACATGAGCATAAGCTTTTAATGCCAAGTTCTCTGGCCAAGTTTAGAATTTGCCAGCCAAATTACCTTCCTATTTAGCTGTTTGATCACAGTATCTCAATTCCTGACCTAAACTAATATTGTCTGTTTTCATGTAGCTCTTAGAAATGCTTTCTAAATCTGCCTGCAAAGGACAGCACAGTGATACCTGGGTAGGATGAATATCAGCCATTCATTTATAAAGCACTTAGGAGTGGAAGGTGCTCCCATTTAAAAATTAGCTACTACTGACAAAGATAAAACTGAAAAAGAGTGGCTAGATGACTTGATTGTTTTTAAAGGAAGCATCACTCATGAATCAGAAGATATACCAATGAATTACCTGACAGCATCAAGTACAGCATACAAGATTCAATTCTAGAATACAACTACATTTCTGTGTCTGTCACAGTAATTAGTCCTTAAAAGTTGTACTTAAAATGTAAATCTTTAATAAACTTCAAAATAATTTATTGAGATTTCATCTCATAACCTACTGATTGTGAGTTGCAAATAGAGGCTGAGTTTCCCCCCAGGTGTTATCTGTAGGCTGCTGTGTCATCTCAGAGTTGGGAAAGTTTTACAGATCCACGGAAGGGAGAAGGCACTTGTCTTCCAGGAAATCAGCTCAGGACAGGGCAGGCCTGACCCTGCGACGGCACCTTCAACTCTCAAGCCAGAGGCTGGAGCCTACGAGGGACTCATCTCATGTCCTTCACTTCCAGGGGTGCGGCACACCATCTACAGCACCACAAAACTCAGAATATATTCTAGGAGTTTCTGCCGGTTGCACTGAGGTATAAAAGTGCTGCTTAGTTCTAAAACAGATACTCTCTTTTGTTTGGTCTCTTTGAAAACCTAAAGAGAAAGTTTAAACTCAATTAAAGGCAAAACAAACAAACAAAAAGACATTTCTACCAACCCTGACCTATGTCCTAGACCCCAAAGGCAGTAAAGGCACACAGAGCCATATCCCGGCTCTAAGTCAAGTCCGAGTGGGTGTGGAGGAGGATGCAGTGGGGGGCTACAGGTGCAAGCACAGTGTCTTAGGGGGCGGAGTTCACCCAGCGCATTATACTTTAAAACGTGTGCTAGCATAAAGTCACAAATAGAATCTTACGAAAGCCCATGAGTATCTCCATGGAACTCAGGTTCCACATGACAGGTGAAGGCACAGAACACCTGAGGAAACTTATCACCTGAGTGATATGGTGAAAATACAGGACAGTAACTGAAAATCATATGGAACCATGAACAGCCGAGACTGCGGCTCAAGAAGAGCCTCCCAAAAGTCCAAAATCTGAAATGCTCCAAAATCTACAACTTTTTGAGTGCCAACGTGAAGCTCAAAGGAAATGTACAATGGAGTATTTAGGATTTGGGATTTCAAATTTTCAGATTAGGAATACTCAACCAGTAAGTTTAATGTAAATATTCCAAAATCTGAAAACATCTTGAAATCCAAAATACTTCTGGTCCCAGCATTTCGCATAAGAGATACACAAACTTCTTTAAAGGTTGATTACAACATTTTAAAACATGTTGATACCTGTTATGTATAAGCAGTTTGGGAATGGATGTGAAACCAGCCAAATTCTGAAGCATCCAAATAAATCTGCCAATGGGCCTCAGCCTCAACATACCCACCCCCACCCCATTCTCAGAATTCCTTCTCTAGGGCCCGCTCTACCATAACGGTGGCTCAAATAGACTAGATCTAAAGAGAACACAAGCTTTTATACCATAAGTGACAGACACTTACTCCAATGTCCTTAAACATTTTCACAGCATTCTTCACAAGACAGTACGTGGCACTTTCAGCTGGAAAGAAAGAATAAGACTTCATCAAATGTTGAGACCCAACAAAACATGAAGACCCAATACCCACAGTCAGGAGGTATGGGGGGCCAGAGGAGGGCGAGTCCGTGGCTCCTCTGCTGCTGGCAACCTGGGAGGTCTCAGAAGATCTGCTTTAAAATTATTTTGCCATCTGCTAAGAGAGGAAATGGGAGAAGAGAGAGAGAAGGGGGAAGAGAAAGAAATACAGGAGTGGAGAAAAAAAGAGAGAAGGGGAAATGCCAAAAACACCCATCTTGCAGGATTTCCCTGAGAATCAAACAAGAAAGCGTGTAAATATGACGCACAGACTATCCCGACATGAATACAGACCATCATCTACAGCACCACAAAACTCAGAATATATTCTAGGAGTTTCTGCCAGGTGCACTGAGGTAAAAAAGTGCTGCTTAGTTCTAAAACTAAGAGAAACTCCTAGAATATATTCTGAGTTTTGTGGTGCTGTAGATGATGGGTTGTATCGACTAGAGAAAGCATAATCGTCGAGGTCACACAGTAAGCATTCTAAACCTGGTTCACTCACTAACTAGCTGTGTGACCTTGGAGAGTTTGCTCATCTACAAAGTGAGGGAATTCCATCAGATTATCTCTAGACCCCATCTGGCTCTAAAATTAATTCAAAGCAATTTCAGTTCCAAACCATAACTGTATAAAATGCTACTCCCACCTGAAAAATACCTCTTATAATATCTATCAATAGAAAAATAAGTAAAATGTATATAGTTACACAGTGGAATGCTACCAGAACAAACCGCTACCTGCAACATGTGTGAATCTCACAAATAATGTTAAGTAAAAAAATCCAGACAAAAAGAGTATATCATTGTATCATTCAATTTATATAACATGCCAAAGCAGGTAAAAGAGAGAGCAGGATACGTTTGCATTTTTCCAATTTTTTACAATTAGCAGACTTCTTAATTAAAAAAAAAAATCTATAGTTTTTAAAAGAAGGCCAAATAGTAACTTAACATACCATATACTGCCACGTTTCTCTCTGTTCTGGTTATTAGATATTTGTGCAACTTTTGCAGATATTCAGGTTCTGGAACTGGACCACTGAAGTTGTGAACAAAGATGGCGGCAGAGCTGTAGGCCTCCAGCAAGGGCCCAAGGAGTCTCTGTAAGAAGGTGATGAACTGCTGGTGCTCCTTGGATTGGCTCACCTGAAGGGGTGAGAGACAAAGCCATGGGGAAGGGACAAGAGACACGAAGCAAGCACACAGGACTTTCTCGGAAGAGCTAATAACTCGAGAGGACGGCCACTCACACTAGCATGGCGTGGAAGCAGCCCAGCACTCCTCAGGCAGAGAACCTCTGTGGGAACCAGTGCTGGTTTTGAGATGTGTCCCTTATCGTGATCATTCACCTTCACAGTATGTGAGGTTTGTGATCATGAACAGCCCGTCTAGGAGAGGTTTTCACACTTGAAGGCCATAATCAGGATATACTGTCATCACTGAAAACAGCTGGTCCCCATGCTGGGCCTCCAGAGTCTGAAGCCTGAGCTCAACAGTTACTCAAGCATCAAAAAGGCCGTAAGACGAGACCACCAAGATCATCTCGGTCCTTCCTTGGCACCCCCACTTCCTGCCTCCCCACGTGGCCTGCACCCAAACCCAGCACCATGGGCAGCGGAGGCCACAGTGAAGGGTGCTTCCTGGCAAGGGAGGCTTTCACTGTATCTACTGAAAACAAACAGCTTTAGTTAAAGCCCTCTGGAGTGTGGAAACAAGATTACTGCCCAATCATGAAACTAATGTTTACATCAAGAAAGGGAGGATTTCTAAATGTCCTTTAGAATCTGCAGAAGCTAGGCCTCCTAACTTGCTGTGTGTGTGTGTATGTGGTGGAGAGAGAGCTTGGTAGGACTAGAAATTGCTATCCCACTGCAAAGAGAATAACTCACTTAGGAGAATTCAAAAAAAGAGTGGTCCTTATTGCCAATTCTAAAATTATAATTTAAACAAAATAGATTTTTCTAAATCAAGAATAATCTTTTAAAAATCCAAACTTTCTCCTTAATAGGATTTGTCTGAATTGAAAGCAAAGAGCTCAATGCGTGAAACTTTGGGAGGATGAAGAGTGACTCTCAAAAGGAGCAACCAGGCCAATGACAGCTCAGAGCTAACTTCTCCCCCACCCCAGCCCCCAACCTGCTAAGGCATCGCCTTGCTATGGTGATGACTGAACATAAACCCCACCTCATGCGGAGTGGGTGCAGGTGTGAGCACACACCTGGGGGCAGTGAATGGTATCACCCATCACATTCATCTTCCGGACTTTTCAGATTCTTGTTTCCTTTCCCACTTACTGATTCCCATAAACAATTTATGAACTGACTTTCACACAGTTTGAGTATCTTAACTATGTAGAAGGTACCAGAGCTAGTTAGTGAGTACTATGAACACAAATGAGTCACCAGTCCCCTGGGTAAAAGTCACCCAGGTTCCCTAGTTCAACCTAACTCTCAGCGCATCCCTATAACATCCCTCAGAACCCTTCACCAAGTACCTTCAGGTAGCAATCACGCTGCTCCTCACCGAAATCACTATCTTCATCTTCTTCATCACTTCTCCAAGACAAGGGTTCAGGAAGCTTCTTATCCCACTGCTGCTCAGCAAGACCAGGACTGATGTCTTCCTGGTCATCTTGCTAGGCCAACGGGAAAACCAACAGTGAAAAACTATGCACAGGCACACGGACACCTGTCCAGCAGAGCCCAGACACAACAGTGCTCTCCAAAGTCTCTTCCTGCTGCCTGTTGAGCCATCTATCATGTCAATCCACTTCCCTTCCCAAACTCAGTTCATCCAGGAGACACCAGGGGAAAAAAAGGGTAGAGGGGAGGAGAGGAGAGAACTACCAGACAGAGCAAATAAAAATACCCTCACATCTTTTAAATTGATCTCTACTTTCCAAAGCCGTATCTATACTAGATCTACCAAAATTAAAAAGAAAAATGCACGTGTGCAAGCTCCAAGCACACTGATAGATTCATGACATCACATCTTAGAGTCACAGAATCACGTGAAGATGTGTTTTAGACAACACCACTTCTACAAAAGGAACCAAAATATTAATCTCCAAATACATTTCCTCTTCTCTTTCTTCCTTTTCTCTTCTCTTCATCTGAACGTGAATAATCAGCACATGTAATTATTGGTTCCAATAACTGGCAGAAAAGATAAAGAAATCAAGAGCAAGTAACCAAATAAAGACAAACTAAGGAAAGCTCTTCCTCTCACCTCTGCCACCGTGAGGATGCCGTACTGGATAAACTTCCCCACGGTCTCGTGGCAAACCTGGTAAAATGTCTGGCAGGGCTGAAAAGAAAAGTCATTCAAATGCAAATGTTACCGTTTTATCCCTCTTTCTTAAAAACAAAAAGAACAATATACAAGGTAGCTTCCAGACTACCATTCTTTCACCTATCTCAGCACTGGGCAGGTCCTTTGACCTCTGATGCCCACTCCCCTGATAAACACAAGGTCACTAACAAAGTCCAAGAAGAAGCCTCTCTCAGGTGACTGGCAGAGCACCCAAAGTGGCAGCCCTTCCCCACCCCCCGCCCCCACAAAACGCACTCCTGAGCTTCACTCTCATCCCCAGCAGAGCAAGGCCACGGAAGGGCTGCTGGCCAGGCCCCACCTCTGCTCCTTCTTCTTGATGAGACAATTTCTCTGCAAAGCTACCCTACAATACAAATTGTACACAAAGTGGTGCATGAGGAAACATATGAATAACTACAGGAAGACCCAGGAAGAGGACAAGGCCAATCTCAGGAGCCTTATCTGCCCCCACTCCTCCCACGTGCCACCCAAAGTTCATGCCAAAGATTCCCCAATAGGGCAGAACCTGTGGCTCAGTGAGTAGGGCGCCGGCCCCATATACTGAGTGTGGTGGGTTCAAACCCAGCCCCGGCCAAACTGCAACAAAAAATAGCCAGGCATTGTGGCGGGCGCCTGTAGTCCCAGCTACTTGGGAGGGTGAGGCAAGAGAATCACCTAAAAAGCCCATGAGCTGGAGGTTGCTGTGAGCTGTGAAGGCATAGCACTCTACCAAGAGCAACAAAGTGAGACTCTGTCTCAAAAAAAAAAAAAAAAATGCCCCAATAGCACCACTTATATGCCCCATGCAAAGAAGGATGTGGAGAGGGGGCTGTCCTCAGAACACATGTATTCACAAATGTCTCGAGACACAGCCACATAACAGCATGTTAGAATCCAAATAAAATATGAATTCTATTTGTTTATGATTTCAATGGGGGGGTGAATCTCTTTCGTACTTAATAGACATGCTTATTACAAATGTCTAAATGTACTTAGATAGAATTTAAATGTTCATTAGTACTCCTAGGCCTTAGTTTCCTTGTTTATAAATTGAGAGGGCTTGAGCAGATGATTTTTTGAAGGCTGTTTCTGGCTCTTACCTTCTGTGGTTCCTTCACCTACGGGTGGGTGCGTTAATTATTTATAAACCACTGAGCCAGTGCCACATGCACAGTCAGTGTGGGAAGCTTCGCTTCTGACTGCCTGGGAACGCTGAGCAACCTGCCCCATCACGCCGCAGAGCTGCGTGAAGGACTCACCAGAGCAGTGAGCCAGACAGCAAACCAAGACAGTAAAGGACATGTTGGTTTGGTGTCACCGAAACCAGCAGTGGGATACAAAGCATCAGTGATGGGCAAAAAATGTTCTAAGACAAAAACACAGCAGTTTATGTTTTCATAACAAGGCTCAAGAAAGAGAACAGGCAACAGAGAAGAATCTTCGCTCACCAGCGAGATGGTGCCTTCGTTGGAGAGCAGATAGCACAGGCTGGCTGCCTTCCGTACCAGCTGCTCCTGGCTGATCAAGCTGGGGGCGCCTCCAGCAGGGCCTCCCAAACCCCTCTTGTTCAGAACTGCGTAAAGGCTGCAAGCTACGGAAAGAAAAGGAACCATGAAATTTCCAGCTCAAAGCCTCCCAGAAAAACTTCACCCAACTTCACTAATTTGGATTACCTTAGGAGATCGTTGATATATCAAAAATAACAGCCTGATTATTAATGCAAGTAAACCTTCTGACTAATAGCCTGATAAATGCTGAAGAAATTTCAGTAAATCCCATAAGGTTCGAATCTAATGATTCCATGCAATTCTGACTCAACATCCAGAGCCTTCCCCAGGCATCAGTGCTGTTCCTCTTCCTCACTGTTTTCTCTGCTCACAATGAGACCCCACACTCACTTCACTGCCCTGTGCACGTGTCACCTCATTAAAGCTTCAGCTCAGAGATAGCAAGGCGCTCCTCTCCTTAGTAATAAGTGTGATCAAGGCAGACAGTAACTCAGGCCCTACCCACTGCAGTTAAAAGTACTGATAGAACAGCAAATTATACTTTCATTCAAACATTGAAAATGTAGCCATACACTCCCTCAAATGAGGGGCTATGTCCCACTATGTGTTTTAGGCCCTTTTACTTTCCATGAAAACATTTGAAAATATGTCAGGCCCTAACATACCTATAATGGCCTCCATGATAAAGACATGGAGGACCCCATTGCTGTAGAAGTTGAGTTCAAAGACTGACGGGACAGTTGTGCTGGGAGTAATAAAAAACTCATCATTTCTACTCGTGTGGGTGATGGTGACACAGTTTCCCAGTAGCTGTATGGCATGCATGACGACATCTTCTGAATTTCCTGAGAACCCCAGGTCAAAGTCACGAGCCAGGACTTCCTCCTTCATCACAAAGAAGTCTTCCACTAAGGTGGAGAGATCAATCCCCTAAAAAAAGAGTCAGAAAAGGTCTAGGATAAGCTCCTTTCCAAAAGGCAGAGAGGCCAATATTCCAAGATTGTCTTCTTGCTTTGGTTTTCCCACAGCCTGTTGCCAGCACACCCAGAAATGGCACCAGGGCACAATACCCGACAGCTGGGCCCTCGGACACGTGGAGATATTCCCTGTGCCAGAGAACACTCACACCAAGACACATGATCCGAGCGTGTGAGATCACAATAGGAAAGGAAAAGAAACCCATCTGAAAGAAGAAGTGCTTATTTTTTAGTAAGAATTTCCTTCATTTTAAATATCTCCCTGATAAGTATTTATTTGGTGCTTATACATGTATTGGCACCATATTTTTTGTTGAGAACACAACTGTAAACAAAACAGACATAATCTCTCTCATCATAGAGCTTAGAAAAGTATATTTTAGGCCCGGCACGGTGGCCCACGCCTGTAATCCTAGCACTTTGGGAGGCTGAGGTGGGTGGTTCACTTGAGCTCATGAGTTCAAGACCAGCTTGAGCAAAAGCAAGACCATCTCTACTGAAAATAGAAAAAACTGAGGCAAGAGGATCCCTTGAGCTCAAGAGTTGGAGGTTGTTGTGAGCTGTGATGCCATGTCACTCCACCCAGGGTAATAGAGTGAGACTCTATCTCAAAAAAAAAAAAAACAAAAAACCTATCTTGTATGAGATTAGAGGGTGGCTTCTAAAATATAGATCAATTCACTCGGAAAGTGTTCACTGTGGGCGTACATACTGCATGTCAATAAAATATACCTTATTTACATTAACAATATTAACCAAAGAAGGTCTTATTATTACACATATTAACAGTCTGAGCAGCATGGTTTATTTTCAGGTAGATTTTTCCCTCCATCAGGTTGATAAGCTGCTTTGGGCAGGATCCTCAGCTTATTTCCCTCATAGTACCAGCCAGGAGTAGGCCAAGCCTACCCCTGAATAACACTTCAACAGAGGACAAAACGCTTCCTGCTTCCCCGCAGGCGGCACTGCGGATGGACGCACCTGCCTGTGTCTGTAGAGCAGCAGGCAGGCCACGATGTGCGTGGACATGATGGCACATGACTTGCTAGCAGCTGGAAGGCAAACACAGAGCTTTAGTTGTACATTTTTTCACTATTAACTGAAACTTTTAAAAAGTACCTAAATGTTAAATAAGAATATTTTAAAACTATAAGGAAAAAAATCCTCCACCACATTCCCGTAAGCTTGATTTACCAAAAACAATACACCACATTCTAGACATGGACCACGGAACCACATTAGAGATCACTCTTAATCAAACAACAGGCTAAGATGAGCCCACCTTCAATCCAGGCCAGTGGAGTGACTTACTGAATGAAGAAAAGACACTGTATTGAAATACCAGGACCCAACGTCCCAGCCTGCGTCAGTCCCGCAGGACACCCCATTTTCATATTCTCTGACTCGTTCCTGGCTGCCGTCTTCTCTGCCTATGACTCTACTTCACTCCTCTTAGAGATTCACCGCCCAAAAATGAAGGCAGAGTGAGGGTGGCGGGGGAGTGCGTCTGAAGTCAGAAAAATCTGGGCTCAAATCCTAACTTCACAAATTTCATGACCTTGGGAAATTACTTAAATTCCTGAGCCTCAGTTTCCTCACCAATAAAATAAAAATACCACCTAGCACATTGGGCTGAGTGAGCATGAAATGACAGTCCTGACACAGACCCACGGTAATGGGTGCTCAAAATATTTGCATTTTTTCTTTCGATCTGGCCCAGAGGTGGGGAAGGAGGACACAGGAATACATCTGAGAAAGACTGTAATGTATAACCTAACCCTCTGAATGTATAGAAAATTATAATCATATAAATGAAATCTCACAACCACCATGGAATGATCTGAAATGAAGGTGACAGTTGAGTTTTCTGAGAAGATAATGAACTATAAATACTTCCTTTGCAGTTAAGCTGTCTCCAGTTTTGTACCAAAGAAGGACCCAGTTCTATTTAGACATTTAAAAGGATATTTATAGTTTTTAAAACCACGCATAAATGTTTGTTTTATAAATGGAAAATAGCCCAGTACAAAACTGTAAAAAAAGTTTTAGAGCCTGCACACCAACACCCCTGGTTAATTGGGTCACGGGTTTTTGCTACCTGTTATCTTTATTTTCCAATTTTCCAACAATAAGAAAGTATTACATTTTGTGTCCAGAGTTTAAGCAAAGGAGAGAGACAATCCAATGTGCTTAAGAAAGAATCCTCTGGCCAAAAGGCAAGCGGGAATAGGAGAGGCCCACATGGGAGGAGCAGGAGGAAGAGAGGAATCCTCCCCAGTAATAGCATTGGAAGACAGTGCTGAGAGTCAGGCCACAGTCCTGGCCCAGAAATACTGGCAAGAAAATCCCAGCAGGGCTGAGCACCCAGGGACCCGGGTGCTGCATCAGGACTTTAAAGCAGCCTCAGCAACAGCACACAACTCTGTAGCTTGTAACTTAAGGGAGGCTGGTTCTGTGGTCAACTCACACTCTGCCCTGGGTCCACTCCCACTTGAATTTTTGTGTACAACTATCCCACTGAGACAAGCGTACACTCTGTGAGTGCAGAACCATTAATTACTCAATTTGTACTTCCCACAACTAAAACAAAGCTTTATACACAATGACCAGTCAGTGGTTCCTGAATTAAAAAATGCATAGGGTCTGAGGAGAAAGGGATATGTAACTATAAACCTGGATGTTGTACCACAAATTAGTTTTAAAAAAAAATCGATAAGCAGAGGCAACAAATCATTTTAACAATACTACTTTTTAAAAAGCACAAGTACTACCGTATGAGCACCTACTAATCACCAGACACCGTGTGAGATGCTTTACTCACATCATCCCAAATCCCACAGTGCTACCTTCTTTCTAACAACTTCCCAACAGCCGCCTGTGAATTAGGTAATGGAACCAGAAGTGGAGACTAACCTCAGCAGATTTCTACCCCACGCCGTGCCGAATATAAACTGCAGAATTAGAGACTTTGGTAATCCACTTACTGAACAGAATATGCTCGGCCAGATTTGCAATCAGCCTTCTTCGCAGAGATTCATCTGTTGCGTTTCTGGACTCATTAATGGTTGTGTCTCTCCCTTCATCAGCAGCATCAGTGGGTCTGAAACGTTTTTTGAAAATCAGCCTATAACTCCACTCTTTTACAAGGCTAACCATGTGGGACTAATCTATAAATGAATTAGATACTCTAAATTACTCTTCATTTAAAATGTAAACCATAGAGTATTTCTAGGGGGTTTTTTCCTCCATAATATACTTTAGTATATTTAACACACTTTCTCAGCCAAAACATTCTATTTCGTTGTGACCACGTCATTTGTTGGCACATCACTTCCAAAACCCACTGACAAAAAGAATGCATAAAGAATGATGCCTCATTTTAAAACATTTCTGAAAATCCAGCACTTACACATATGAAAGGGAAGAGCTTCATATTCAATTTCTCTAAGTTATAACTCAATGCAGAATTCAAATAGCAAAACTTTTTTATACGTACAATATAAAAATACGTTCAAATAGCAAAACTTTTTTATGCATCTTACTTACGTACAATATGCATAACGTAATCTGCTACCGAAAAGGATTTAGCTCAAACATTCAAAAAGAACAAATCAGATAAGAATGCCTACGTCATTCACAAAATCAAGAAGATTTTACGTGAAATAATCAAAAACCTCCAAACTAATATGAAAACATGTCATTTCAATACCCTTTGTTAGACCAAGAGAGAAGTTACCTGAGTGAGGAAATAAAAACAAGAAACCAGACATTCTTAATAAACTTAACCTAGTTTCCTACAAAGTGTAAGAAATAACAGATAATTGACAGTGTAGTTAGTATAAATTTTCTGCAAATCTTACCTGGAAGGAAGTATAGCTGGTAATAACGCTTGCTCCAGAGACAGTGGAGCAGACACGGGTTTCTGACTTTGGCTTTCTAAATATTCCTGAAAGAAAAAAAAAAAGAAAAGAAACAAAAACCATAATCATATACTCTCACTTTCACATCAACATATAAAATATAATTTGATCTTTCAAAGGCTAAAAGTGCATTGTTTATAAAACAGGCTACCCTATGGAGCATGGGAAATACTTTCTATATCCTAAACTACCGTCCGCAGTTCAGAATGGTTCATAGAATGCTGTTAAGCACGAAATTTAAGAACCAAAGATTCAAAGAACAGAATCAGTACTTAAACAAAATCATTCAAAAATGAAGGGGAAATGTTTAAGTTTTCTCACATCTTCATGCAATTGTGTGACATTCCCAAAATGAATAGTGATAACTAACGCAGTCCTACTTTTTTAAGGAAATCTGGCAAACCAAGGGTCACACAATATTCCAAAGAACCTCAACCCATAACAAACTGCTATATGCGTACACCTTGGAATACGACTATTCAGCCATAGAAAAGATGGAGACTTTACATCTTTTGTATTAATGTGGCTGGAGTTGAAGTATCACAAGAATGGAAAAATAAGTAACCAAAGTACTCAACACTAATGTGAAACCAGTAGATGAGCAACCACGTGCCCACACAAGAGAAAAACACAAATTCAACTGAGGGGGAGGCCGGAGGGGGATTGGTAAATTCTCACCTAACAGACACAATGTAAGGGTATAGGGCACACCTCCAGGGTGAAGGGCTCAACTACAACCTGGACTTCACCTAACAAATGCAAAGAATGTGACTTAATCATCTGTAGCCTCATATTAATCTGAAATAAAAAAGAATCTCCATCCAAAAGTAAATTATAGCAAGATAGAGAAGCTGTGCAGTAGTTTAAAAATATTAAAAAAATAAAAAAAACAGTGTAAAGAAATGATGAGGTTCCTAAAATCATAAACCCAGAAAGCATCCAGCACAGCAGTTAGAACTGTTCAATGTTAAGCCAAGAAGTAAAACGTAAGGACAGGTGGGACCTTGGCTTACCCCTGGCTCCCTACTTCTTACCCAGCCTTTTCTTCCTCCTTTACTAATTTGAAAATCCTAAGAATTTAAAACAGCAAAAAACTCAAGGACCTGCCAATCCCAGACTTTGAGTGAAGATGGCACTATCCCTCAGGATGTGCAGGTGCTCCATTCCACTCACAGGACACAGCATCACCCTGTCAATTTCACCGTGTTTAGGGGAGAAGTTCTGAAAATATTTCCCCTAACAGCAATTTTAAAACTTAATATTAAATACTAATATATATTATAAAGCACCATGCAAGATTCTCAGTAATTTTAAAAAAACTGCAAAAAATATTAACCCTGATGTCTCCCCAAAATAGATACTCATTCTGCTTTATCAGTAGGCAAATTATGTGGGAAAAAAATTTAGAAAATACCACTCTTGTCACAGTCCTCATTTTATAGGAGAAGGAACTGTGGGCCCCCACAGAGAGGCGCCACTAGAGCGGGCACTGGAGCCCAGACCTTCCGACGCCAGGTCAACGCTTCATTCCAGCACACACTCACCTTTAAAGAAAACGGCTGTGCAAAGTCCACTCTGACACACCCATAGTTTTTTCGTAGCATTCTAATAACGCCTCTTGCTACACTCCAGAGGCTCTCATTCTTCTTAGGTTTGCCCTAAATTTCAATGGTGGGAATAACATGGTAAGAAATACAGCTAACACATACACAAACATTGTGGATCCCAAGTCTAACTTTTTTTAATGAAAGTTCATCTTGAAAGAGACAACACCAAATGAAGAAGGAAAATAAGTCCTCATCAACTGAAACCTGCCAAAAAATGTTTGGTGTTCAAAGATGTTAAAAGATGCCATCACATCAAGGGGAGAGGTAATTCAGCCAATGAAAAACAAAACGTTTAACACTGTTTCATTTTTCACAGAACTCACAAAAACACAAGTACAAACTAGTGAAGGATGAAATGGCACAAAAAACTGTACTGTGGTTCTCAGATAAAAATAAGATCTCAAAGGGGCCACTTACTGAGTTCTGATGATCACCAGAGTCTAAGGCAGTGGTTCTCAACCTTCCTAATGCCGCAACCCTTTAATACAATTCCTGTGGGTCGCGACTCATAGGCTGAGAACCACTGGTCTAAGGTAACTGAATGCCACATCCCACTTCCCCATAGTCTTTGAGCTGATTCTTCATGTAGTAAGCACTGTTTATTATGCCCAAGGCACAGCGACAAGCCCAACGGACACAAGGACTGAGACACGGCCAGGATGAGAGGTGCACAGTAAGGACAGACTCCAACACCAGGAGGAGAGCACCGTGCAGGGAGTAATCCCAGTAAACCGCTTAATGTCTAAAGCCCCCAGATGTCAAGTGTCTTTGAGCGTCTGACATGTTTGAAAGTGTAAACGTGAAACAAGTTCCTTGCCTAAGACTTCTACCCTAAATAAGAACAAAACTAAATTTCTCTGGGCTCGGCGCCTATAGCTCAACCGGCTAAGGCGCCAGCCATGTACACCTAAGGTGGCGGGTTCGAATCCCCAGCCC